CCACCCCAGCCTCCCCCACTCCTCACCCCCACCCAGCGTTGCCAGACAGCGACACCTGTTTTATTTCGTATTCCAGGCGGGCGCCGGTTCCTCTTCTGTATGCTAACTGACGTCTCGAGAGCACAAGTGCTTTTTTGGAACAGGGGCCAGGCGCGAGGGTAGGCCGCATCTGAAATGCTAACCGCCGGAAATATTGTAGACACGAGTATTTATCTTCGCGAGGGGAGTTCCCCTTCATAAATTTGCATTGTTTTTGTTTGAATCAAAGGCACATTGCAGACAACAGGTACTGTTTTTCCTGTCAGGTCACACCGGAAATCGCTTATCTTCTGAAGGGGAAGCAGAGTGTCCCAGAAACGTCTTCGTAATGGGTTTAGAAATTTTCCTGATGCTTTCTTTAATATTAAATTACAATTTTCCCGTTTTTATGACCTATGTTCAAACTGCGATTGTGAAAACCTGGTATTTCTTCAAAATACTTGTTTCAGTCAACCACGGATCCTTGTAGGAAGGTGAGTGATGACATAATATGTAAGAATGTGAATGTGCCAGAATAAGTACACATTATAAGAAATTTTAACTTTTAATTTAGTGTCCATCCTTGGACACTAAATGTTTTACATTTTTCGCATGTATAGATTGTCCAGAAAGTTGCCATTATTCTTTAAAAATTTGCTTTTGTTGTCAAGAAATTAACATGTGGATTTCGCATATTGTAAAAATGCAGATATGTGATTATGTTCTACATTTCATTTCATAATACACGTTGTCTCGTCCCAGGTTACTTCTCGACTACAGTATAATGAACTTTGAATGATTTCAACTGTAGTACAATGATAATTGATGAAAGTCTACATATGGGGTCTGATTTGAGAAATGTAGATGCAATACAAGGTAAATCTAAAAAAATATCACATTTCCAAATATTTTACTTTCTTTTGAAAAAAAAGATTAGGATGGTTCTAGATGATATCCATGTATCACTGTAAACATGTTTTACACATGTCCAAATTTGGGGATATGAATAGTATAAAAGTTGAATGGCTTCTAAATTAACATGTGCGTGCAAACGTATTTTATGTTTGCAGCGAATATTTTGATTTCATATAGGGAATTCCAAGATCACGATGTAGATCCCTATTTTTAGTGTACCACGGAGCATTTACCGTGTTTCCCAGTACTTTGTTTTAAAGGTCTGTATTGATTTTATGTTGCTTCCTTTGGTACAACCCTAGAGCCGAAAACCATAGAGCCAAACGGCTTTCAATATTTAGTTGTAGATTAAAATTTTGGTGTGTATGGGCTGTTGAGAAGCATGTCCCAAGAGCCATTACATCTGCCTACACTTAAGTTTTAATTCAGTATTTTTCTTTTTCACATGTTCCTTGCATCGCAGTTTAGTATCTAATGTCATACCTAAGTAATTATCAGTGTTTACGTAAGGCGTTTAAAGGCCAATTAACAATGGAGAAGGAGCTCTTAGAATTCTATTGCTTGTAAAGTTTATGTGAACAGATTTTGACTCCTTTAATTTGATCTACCAATTTGTTGCCGAAGAGTGTATTTGATAACCAGCATTTTGTAGTATGTCTGAGGCCATCAAGGCTGTATATAAGCAAAGGTCGGCACAATCACGTTTCCATTTTGTGGGATATCACCGTTGAACAATAAACAGAGAACGAGCCCCAAAAAGTTTGAAGAGTGATATAGTTTTTAAATTCTCTATTTGAAGTTCACGGTGTATCTGTTTGTTGGAAATAAATCATTCAGATTGTAGTAATTTTTGTAAAAATTTGTTTAGTATTGTTTGTATTTTATATATGCGCGATGTAGAAGCATTGCACCAAATGGGACATGTATATGTTAGGGACGGACAAATGATTGCTTTATATAATAAGAAGACGCGCGTAATTTTACGCTGACAACGCGTAATTTTAAATGATCAGTTAAAAATGATATAACTCAGAAATTGTATGATAAGTCGAATTGAATATGTTTTGAATATAGTGTTTCCATTGGCACCGATATATCTCTCACTTTCTATATACGTATGAGAGTACGTCAAATGATTCAAGTAATCCCGCAATGTTATTTGAATTCGTGACGTGTAAGAGAAACGTCACGTATAAATTGAGAATAATGGAAAAAATGTTCCCAATCCTAAGCAGTAGGTGATACGTCTTTTAATGCATACTTATAAATTCAAAATTCAAGTAATTTCTGTAAAAAAAAAGATATATTATTTTACAAAGTTACATTAAATACCAGCTCAACTATTCTGAACTGGTTTGGCTTTTGGTTTAAACCTTTCTCGATAATGCTATTAATACTTTCCCTAACATACATTACATAGACACGTAACAAATACATTTCACACTGCATGAAAACATACCCTTTTTGACACTGCTAAAAAATGACATACAGAAAACAATATTTTTTACAAAAAAGAAGGAATTCCAAAAAAACATACACTAAAAAAATGAACTCTTTGAAAGAAGAATCTTCACACAACTATTGGTTCAAAGAAAGTTATGTTATGAATTTACCATACCAATGTTTAAAATTGACAGTCAAATACACATCTATCTAGTTAATGAATCTTTATCATTATTAACATTATCATCACAAGTTGGTTTCACAATCCAAGAACTTTCCATCTAAACGAAGGTCAAATGAAATCATTTACCCTCATCTTTGCAGCTGAACATTGTGATAATTTGGAAAATATTTAATCGCAAAAATTAACTTCAATTCACCACAATTACATGTAAAGGAATTATACAATTATTAATTTTGTACTAGTATCTGCATTAGTTTTACGACTGATATTAAAGTTCCAAAATTTAATAAATTCGAACCACATAATTTGAATGTTAATAGAAGAATGCTTTCTACGCAAGTTTCCTTGGCAACTAAGAATCAAGTGAAATGAAAACTGGAGCGACTCACGCCGCGTGTCCCTCGAAGGAACCGTTGGCTGCTGCAGGCGGAGGGCGCTCCACGGTTCAGGGTCGCGCTTTGGCTGAGAACGCTGACCGTAGCTGGCAGGGTCCCTCCGCTGTCGCCAACCGCCTTCGTTCTGATGCGTCGAAAACATATCCAGTCTCTTGTTCTTGATTAGAGTTCCTCACTCCTTTAGAGGTTGAATTGTCAAGAAAGAGGATTTAACTTACTTCGTTCAAAGTACAAAATTACGAAGTGGCGAACGAATAAGACGCAAATCCAATAATCATGTAAAATAATGAAATAAAAGAGTGAAAATAAGAAAGAGCTGAAATAGAAAGAAACATTCTTCAATTAGATTGGATTCCGTTTCATATCTCAAATACTCATAAAACTAGAATGGGCCCAAAGCGGCGTATGTATTAGTTTTTAAGATAGAATGTAAGGTAGTTTAAGTTAATTCCCTTTCTTAGCTGCAAAAGCCTAACGGCTGCAGCAATATATATGTATCCCATTTCATAATAAATCCCGCCTCTCCAGCGTAACTGGAGGAGGGGGAATCGAAAAAAAAAAAAAAAAACAAAAAAAAATTACTCGCAGAAATATACTGTATTCCGAAGCGAAAATCGTACAGTGTCAGTTGTTATTAGCATTGTTTAATCACATACAACAGTATTCAACTTCTGCATATCCCGCTTGTTAATTCGATTCCATATTAAATGTAAAAGTACTACCTTTAATAAGCTTCTTGAGTTTTCGTAACTCAACCATCTTCTCTCCTTGCAGATCCGTGTGGTAACCGATGTTCTCCTTTCAAACGCTTTAACAAAAATGGCAGTTTCCGTTTCTCACTACTCAAATTTTAACCGTCGGTCATGTTAAATTTTTGATTGGTCGTTGCGCTTACGCTTAAGCAAAGATATATCAGAGTCCCAATGTTAAAAGGGAGAGCCTTGTTTGCCGAACTGCTGGTGCCGCCACATTGTTCTGTATAATTTCTGTTGGGTAAACGGATAGCCAATATCAAAGAAGTGACCGGTAAATTTGAAATAAACAAGCTATGCGGGAACTTCAAAATTTCACTCCCATAATTTTCACGCCTTACTGTATTTTAAAAAATCACAGTAATAATTATAAGGATTTTATGGAAGAAAAAAGTCAAATTAGGGCAGTATGAAGTATTTATTGAGCAAATTGATATTACACAATTTCAATATAATTAACAATTTCGTATTACACAAGGCAATAAACACAGTACACCAGCTCAAATGCAACTTAACTGGCTTGTAGATATGCCATAATAATGTGAATACTAAGGAATATATATATATATATATATATACATCGTTACAGAGCATTTTACATAAACAATAACACCAGCGTTGAAACAAAATAAACTTTTGCGCACATTTGCCCTGGAAAAATAGTTATAATACAAGTGCCATTTTATTTTGCGAGTTGGAAAGGTAGCATCACGAGTACAATATATCACGTGCCCCAATATTACGAGCAAAATAAAATCACTTTCACCATGTGTTTTTAAACAGCCTTTCATTTTATTTTAATCCAAGAATACAAATTACTTAACACGTTCACTGCCCTATGAGCCATACATGGCTCAAAAATGTAATATCCAATGATTTTTAATGTCTATGAACCACATGGGAGTCACAAACTTTCACAATTTCTAAGGCAAATATTTTCAAGGAACTGGTCGCAGCTGCTCAGATTTTCAATTGGACTTGCTAGGATAGTCGTAGAATTTTGAAATACACCTGGACACATAGAAAAATATTTCAATTTTTGATAAAACAACAATAAAATTATTATAATAAAGTATTTCTGACCTGCAGATATATTTTGATGTTTTCGTAGGGACAGGGAATGTGTAAATTATGAACTATGTTACATTGATATCAGAATGACTTAGGTCACCAAACCACACTTCAATGGTACAAGGATCTCTAATCATCAACCACAAAAATATTTATTTTTTTATTTTCTATACTTTACACATAATTGATACCAGTAACTGTATATTCAAAGGAAAAACTTACCATAAAAAACATCCATTAGAACATTAAGTGACACCTCACATGGGTTTAAAAGATCTGAAATGGAGACAAATATGAAATATTCCTCACCTTCAAAACATGCAACCAAGTGATAATTCAGTTTCTTTGAGATTATAGCGAATACTTACCATTTACAAGGCTAGCATATGCATCTGCCGCACATGATGTATCAGCATAATGGACCGCCCAAGAACCTGTATTAATCAACAAATTATTACCAATAAATTAAGCTTTCAATAGCATGATTCTATTTGCATTTCCCACACATACGAAAACTTACCCTCCTCAGTTTTAAAATTGCTTACTGTGAACAAAGATCTGAAAATTAAAAAATGCTGGTAAGAAAGTCTCCCTTCGAACTATTTGGTAATGAAAATGAATACCACAAAAACAAATTGTATACACATTTACAAGTCAAGCAAATCTGTCCTGTTTGAAGTTCTATTGACAACAGAGGCATATAGTACACAATAAATGTAAGAAGAAAAAAATCTACTAAAAGTCTTGTCAGTTACTCCCATTGCTACTGTGGGCGTCACCTCAGTTCAAACAAGAGATCTAGAAACGAAAGTGAACATTAAAAAGTTCTACAATTTACAATAGAATTATTGGCACGCATTTTCAAGGCAAACACCTTAAATACTAACAGCAAATGTATCAGGCACACTTACCTCAATGTACCATTCACTGACATTAGTTTTTGTAACCACAATGATGATTACCTTTGCTAATTTGACGAGAAATCCTGCATTCAAATTTTTTTCTACTTTATGGCAATGCATACTGTCACAAATTGTTCTCTGAACAAATAAATTAAATTTATTTCTATTGAAAAGAAGTCTTACCAGGAATAACATTCACTGAAATTTGTGGTGAATTTTGAATCTGTATATCTGAAAGTGCAAATAAACATTAAAAAATCACTTTATGACGCACAATTTAAATGCCTGAATGCACATCAAAGACAGTGAACTAACTTCCTTTTACTAGAGCGCTTGCATTGAAATCCTGCAGTGCTTCTTCGCAAAGGGGATTCCGTGATTCCGAAATTTTAGGGCAGATATAATGCTGTTATAGAAAAAGTTCCATGCATTTGTAGTGCTCGTGATATGATTCCATGTGCATTTGGGGAGAGCAGGGTTCCCATTAGCTTTAAGCAATTCTCTACATCTAAAACAAATATATTATTTTACAGGCACCATTCAACAAAAGTATAATAAAGGAGCAGTATTCATCGATAAACTACAGGCATAAAAATGAAAGAAAAAATGTAACTCACTGTTTCACGTATCTTGGGAATCCAAATAGACGTTTTAATGGCTAATTTCGCTTTCGCAATTTAGCAATTGGGCACCCAGCACCTTCTCGAAGCCACAATGCAAGCTTCAGACTTCAAACATAGCAGTAAACCATAAAGTTTATCGAGTTCACTGGCCGCTAAATCATGTAAACGGCGTCACAAAGAGCACAGCACGTGAACGCAACGCCGTCCGGTCGCCAAGGAAGAAATCTAACGGTAATCAACCGGTAACCGGTTCAAACGCAGAGAAATTTCAAAATGAGTAGATCACCGATTCACCGCAAGAGCGAGTCAGTGTTGTACAGATGTATATGACGTCGTTCTGAACTCTGATTGGCTACTGTACGGAATGTCAATAAGGACCCGACATGGCATGTCTAGTAGCAGACGACTGCAGAATAGCAAGAACCAGAGACATTTCCAGAGACGGGATTATAATGTTAAAAGGAAAAGCCCTTTTTAGCCCCAACGTCCGATGTCGCCACGTTTGTTCTGTATAATTTCATATTCAGATAAACCGACCAGCCACATATCAAAGAAGCGACGCGTCAATTTGAATTAAACCAGCAACGCGGGAACTTTTAAAATTTCACCCTTGCATACTTTCCACGCCATTATTTATAAAAAATTCTACAATAATAATTATAAGGATTTTATGGAAGAAAAAAAAGTGAAATTAGGGTAGTAAAATCTAGTATTATTGAGCCTATTGATATTATACATTTCGTATTTCATAGTAAATAACAATTTTGTATTACAGACGGTAATAAACAGTACACTTGCACAATTGCAACTTAAGTTTTTGCTTGTAGGTATGCCAAATTAATGTGAAACTATGTAATACTACATTATTACAAGAATTATGAATGAACAATATGAACAGAATTGAAAAGAAACAAATGGAAATACTACCACACATTTGCCCAGGTAAAACAAATAGTCATATTACAAGGTGTGAAAGTGCCATTTTATTTTGCGCATAGGAAAGGTAGTGCCACTAGGCCAATAAGTCAGGTGCCCCTCATCTAAAAGCAAAATAAAATCACTTTCACCATCCTTTTTTAAAGGATATTACTGCCTTTCATTTTATTTTCATCCAAGAATACGAATTACGTAATTATGTACTGTTACATTAAGTTCAGTAGTATCTGATTAGGTCACATGAACGTATTTTGTTTTCTTGGTTGCTTTCAAAGTTTTATCAGAACATTTGAGCAGTGTCTCACTTTTAGCAGTAGTGCTTAAAAAAGAGATTTTAGCATGCTCTGCATGCCTGGAAAGAACCGCTTTTACTAGTTGCAACCTAAAAAAGTTTTTCGTCAGTCAATAAATAATTGACAACATTATTTTATTTACCCATGCTAATCTCACACATGCACAGTTCAGAGCCTGGCTTTTTTAAAATGGGATCCACTGTGAAAGTACATTCACTTTTAAAACAAAGAGTGGAATTCCATCAATGCTTACGCACCACAATTTAATTCTGAAAATGGATTGTCAAAGTGAAAATATTTGATTGCACGAAGAGCCAAGCCTGGGATCTTCTGATAACTGGGCAGATGTCTTAATATCTGAGCTATGGAATCAAGCATTGCATTCACGACTCATAACAATCCACAATCTAATAAGGATCATCATTCAAATCCAAAAAGTTATTGCCATGAGGATGAACAAAACACATTGATACACACATAGTAGAAAATAAATTGAATCAAGGTTGTGTATGTCATGAGAAACAATTATTGTCAGAACAGTATAACAATACACAAGCAACTTATATCAATACTATTAATAAAAATTAATACTAAAAAGAAAGAAAAAAATACAGACGAGATAATAAGTACTAAAGAAATTCTAAAATTGCATGAAAATAGCCTCTGAATCAGAAACTCAAAACCTTTGTATTCATAATATTCAAATAAAGTGTCTTAACATAACAAGAGGCATTCCAAAATTGAGAAAGTAATCAAACTTTTCAGAATTAATTTTATCTTTAAATTTCATTTAATTAGAACTTTTCAAATCGAGATGTTGGAAATACAGTTTCTGTAATGGATCTGTATCCAAGGACGGAATACACACTGGTTTTGAAACACTCGTTGTTCGTACCATTACAAACTGTCAGCGTAAACGAGATATGTACAGAAACTTTGTGCAAAATGAAGCAAGTCATTCACTGCACATTACAATAATTATTTAAAATTATCTCTCTGAGTTCTGACTCCTCAAAGAGAACATTAATTTAAAGCCACTTACGGTCAAAGCCATATTATCTAATATGCATGGTTCAGAAGCTATCTCTGCAAGACGATCTGAAAAGCAAAAAACGCCATTAAGAGAGAAATGTTTGTCCTCAAATGTTCTGAAAACAGATCTGTATCAAAGAGAAAGAGGTTTCTTTTAATTCACCATCTAGAGTTACGAAATTAGAAAGCAAAGGAATATCTTGCACTTACCACACACCGAAGTCGCAGATTCATCTCCCAGAATGGCTTCTTGCACCTGTTCAGAAGTACAAGGATCTGTAATCACCCCCCCCCCAAAAAAAGAGTTTTTCCATTTACTATAATTTACCCTCAATTGGCACTAATAACTGTATATTGAAGGGAACATTACATAAAAACATCCATAAAAACTTGAGGTGACACTTCGCATGGGCGAAAAAGATCTGGAAAAGCAGACAAACTTGAAATCTATCCCATCTTCAATAAATGCAACAAAGTAATGATTGAGATTCTTAAAGATTGTAGCAAATATTTACCCTTCACAAAGCTAGCATAAGCAGCTGCTGCACTTGTTGTAACAGCATGTTCAACAGCACAAAGAGTCTGTATTAATCAACAACAAATTATTACCAATACATTATGATTTTAATATCATGCTCCTTTTTGCATTTTAAAAACGTACAAGAGACTTACCATTTCAGTTTGAAAAGCTGCCTGTGTACAAGGATCTGAAAATTAAAAAATGCTGGTATCATAGCCTCCCATCAAACTATATATTCTATTAAAACTATATTCTAGTAATATTCCATTAAAAAAATATTACCAATTACACCCATAGCTGCAGTGGGTGTCACCTCGCTTGGTCCAAACAAGGGATCTGCAAATGAACATGAACATTAAAAAAATTCCACAATTTGCAATTGAATTATTTGAATGCACTTTCAAGGCAAAAACTTACCAAGAATATTGGCCGCAAATGTATTAAGCACACTTGCTGTAGAGAACTATTCACTGTAATTAGTTTCTGTAAACACAAATGAATTATTACCCTAGACTTTTAGTAGCATATTCTATATAAATTTTACAATGAAGTAGAAATTTACCATCTACAGTGTAGCCTGGATTTAGAACTAACTACATGCATAAAGACGAAAGATAAAATAAATGTACCTCACTTTTTCACGTTTCTTGGGAACCCAAATAAACGTGTTTTAATTGCTAATTTCGCTTTCGCATTTTTACAGTTAGGCACCCAGCATCTTCTCGAAGCCATAATGTACGCTTCAGACTTCAAACAGAAGTAAATCACTTCATTTCTCTGATTCACTGACTGCGATATGGCGTTAACGGCCCTACGAACAGCACGTGAATATATAACGATAGGTCGATGTGGAAGGAATCCAACGGTAACTAACCGGCTCGTTTGCGAAAAAATTTCAAAATGAATAAGTAGTTCACCGATTGACCGCTTGAGCGAGTTGGTGTTGTACAGATGTATTTGGTGTCGCTCTGAACTCTGATTGGCTACCGTATGGAATTTGAATAAGGACTGGATGTGCCCTATCTAGTGTCACACGACTGCGCTTAAACGATTGTTTTCACAAATCTATTCGTTACTCGTGGTGCTATCTATAATAGTTCTAGGAACCTCTCACAACCTATCTCTCACTGGTGGATGTAAAATGATGTTTTTCCAACATTTGATTTATGTAATTCGACTTTATCGGTTACATCATACCAATATTTTATCTATATAAGCCTAAATATTTAACTAGAAGGTTATTATCCATCCAAAGCACGTTTCTGTAGTTTATTATTAATAGAGGGGGATTTATTGGTCGTAAAAGCGTAAAGAATTTGAACGGTATCAAGAACCACATCACGTGAGTTCTGACTACACAGAGTGTAACTTACAATGAATGTAGGAACACGAATTATTCACTTCTATGTCAGTGCCAACAATACGAGTTTTTACAATGAAAAACCGCCGATTTTTACTGCAATATTGTTTTACTTATGTTGGAATTCAATATATTATAGTTCGCTTGAGTTTCTACTTCATTACTTCGATATTACACAACGTAATACCCATAAATTGCATTCCAAACCACCACAGTCGGAATTTAAAATTGCTCTCAAATGAAGCCTTCAGAAAAATAGCGATTAGCAATTGGAGATGAAAATGCATATACGTGCAGAGTTCGCAGCTGCGTAACTCAACCCATGCAATCTGTAGTACTTGATTGAAGTCCCCACGAAGAATGACGTTTCTCGAGAGGATTTCTCTCTGTGAAAGATTGAGAAAAAATAATTTGTATGGGCCTGCCTATCACAGGATATACTAGTATAACTTGTTAATGGGAAAATAGTAGAGATTGTTTGCAGTGTTGAGAAATACAGGCCGGCGAGTATGTGAGGTACAGTGAGGGAGAGTGAAAGTGCTTATATCAGATAAAACGTAGAGAGAGAATTATACTACAATATCTGTAGGTTTTTTTGTTTCGGATGATCGTCGATCGTAATGTAGAAGAGGATAACGCATGTCAGCGCCCGACTTTTTTAAATAGATTAGAAATCATTTATGTTATAGTGAATAAGATTTCTGGAGGAAGATTATTTGTGTCCGTGGTTTCCCTTCCTGTACCAACCGGACCCTTCCCACGACTTCCATTCGATGGGTACCCGTGTGAGAAGCCCAGGCATCGATAGCAAGGAATTTTAAGGTGATGATTTTGGAGATTTGGTGGTGACGTCAAGGCTTCGACCTAGTCAGAGAGAATAGTGGGCCAAAATAGAAATAAATGGAATAATAAATTAAATAAAGCGTTTGCAAGGTACCAATGACGCCAAGTTTGGGCCCCTTGCGATGCCAGAATTTCCTGTGACTTGAATGTTTTCGAGTCTGTGGCGCTTTCCGGAATCGAATTCCTACAACCGACTACTCTCATCAGTGGTTTTGGTGGTTTCCTTGCTCACTTCCCTGATAACGTCGGAAAAACCATTGCAGATTACTGGCCAAACACTCAGGCAATTTTTACTTTCCTATTTATGTTGCATTTTCTATGTACTGTTATTAACATGAAGAATTAAAGTAAAGAAAATACGTTGTTTTTAGTTTTAAAATGGAATGTATCAATATTCAAAAAATATTAATTTTTAATGCAGTTATATTTAAGAAAATCATTAACTAACATCAACAGAAATTTCATCTCAGGGACAGAGCTGTTTGTAACTGAGACGATTTGTAGGAGGTCTACAAAACCAATGAAGTCAAGAGGAAATAGCGCAAGCTAGTAGACAACCTACAATAAGTTTTGGAATTTTCCCGAAATTAAGATAATTTTCAAAATTAGAAGTGATAGCATTTATTTTAGCTTACACCATGGACCATAAACATTAATTCCAATATTATCCGAATTCTATCCTATTCTAAAGTGCTTTCAACAAACGAACACAGAAGATGCACACAACCCTTGGTGCGTCAGCTGTTAAGGCAATAGTTTGCAGTTGAAGTTTTTGAATGGCTCCACCCTGAGTCCAGGCTTCACTCGCCGCCAGCGCGGAGTCGTGGCTCCCCCAGCCCAAGGGCTACGCAGCGCCACGTGTCCGGCCGCCTTCGCCCCCTTGTTTCGGCGTTCCCAGCTCGTTGCCGACAGGTCGCCGCAGCGGGCAGCGGACGGCAAAGACGGGGGCGGGGGCAGCGGGGGGCGGGGGCTGCGCCGCGCCTGGGAAGGCGGGTGGGGCGGGCGGGGGGGGCGGAGCACGCGCGCGGGGAGGGCGGGGGCGGGCGGGGGCGACCGCCGCCCTGGGGAGTCCGGGCGGGGGAGGGCGGGGCGGGCAGGGGGGCGGGCGGGCGGAGGGCGGGGGCGGGCGGGGGCGGGCGGCGGGGGCGGGCGGGGGGCCGCAGAAGGAAAAGTAATTGAACTCCGGAACGCAGCATCTCGGCTGATCCCGCTCAGGGGAACTGCCCGGCGCGCGGTGACGTCGCGATGCATAAATGCACGAGAGCAGAGTAGACGGCGACGGGCGCGCGGGGGCGGAGGGGCGGCGGAGGGGGCGACGGCGGGGCGAAAGGCGCCGAGGGAGTGAAGGAGACGCAGCAGGACGCGAGGGCGGGGAGGAAGGGTTGCTGCGGGCGCTGGGCTACAGAACGCACGCGAGGGAATACAACGAATATGGTAGTTTAACATAGACCCTCTTGTAATAATTTACACATTTTGATGGCAGTTGAACAAGTAAATTCTGGCATGTGCGTTTCGGTTGTGAGAAATCGTGTTAAACTAAGAAAAGAACATTCTTCAAGAAATGCAACGAAGTGTTGCTTCACTTCTTAGAGTTTTCTTTTGAGAGGATTACATAATTTAATAACGGAATTGATTTCACTGAAAGTGTGATTTTTTCCTCCTACATACGAGGTATTAATTGCTCTCCCAATACCCAGGTGTTATTTATTTAGAAAAAAAATTTTACTGTCTTATAATTACTACAATCGATATTTTCGGTGAATTGACGTAATAATCTCAATTCTAATTGTTAGAAAAGCGTATTACTAATTGAAACTAGTACATAACATTTTGTTATTCTTAGAATTCTATTTAGAATATTGAGAGTAATAATAGTTTATTACATTGCATCAAAACTTAATAATTGACTTACGAAGATATTTTCTTTCTGCATAGCAAATAAAAATTAAATCTCCAGTTTTTGAGGATGTCATATTACAATGCTAGGGAAGTTTTACTCAACGCATTTATTCAAATTCTTCTCCATTTAAATGTACTTGAGAGTAAATCATGAAGTAAGAATATGGATGTGTTTTTCAACAGCGCTGGATTTTGCTCAAACTGCGCAGCATCAGTTACGTCATGTTGATGGTGATGACACGGTGGCACCACACAGCACTGGCACTTTGTTTGAATACTCAGGCTAGGCGTTTCTGGCTGCCACGAACCACAGCAACTGAGCTGTGCCAGTAAATAGCATATTTAAAGGGGCATAAAGTGAACAAGAAAAATAATTAGTGCTTTTTTTCGTATTATGTACGTAATGATGTAATTTTGTTTTCTATAATTATTCGGAAATTTTCTTAAATTGCCAATTATCGCTTCTGTTTTCCAAGAAACTATCAATTACACCCGCCTTTACCTCTTGAAAATAACCAGAAAAAACTAAGCATTTCGGTAGTATAAATTACTTTTCATCTCCTATTGTTACACAGTAAAAGTGATGTTCCGGGTTCTCCTTAAGCGGGTTTTTCTCAATCGAAGCTCCATTAAACAAGTTAAGGAAGAAAGAAAGGAGTCAAACTCATTTGGACAGAAGAGTGCAAAAAAACCTGCGCAGATTGAAAAAACCATTGGTAGACATGGCAAAGTTGAACCAGTTCGTGCCAGGGAGAATCACAACGTAGCGGCAGATGCATCGGACTACGGATTGGACGCGGTCTTATCACAAAAAGGGGAGCAAGGGGTAGAAAGACCTTCCAAATTCCTAAACAAGCATCAAAGGAACTATTTTAAAATCGAAAAAGAAGCGTTGGGGATAATTTTCGCAGTGCATAAATTTAATGATTTCCTTTACGGCAGCAAGTTTCACATTAATATTCACAAGAGGCCACTGGTGCAGTTATTTCATCCCAGGAAGAAAATGCCAGAATGCTCAGCGAAGAAGCTCCAGAGGTGGGCATTGTTTCTCGCAGACTACAACTACCAAATCCACTTCAGAAGAACAACTCAGCACGCCAATGCATTGTCAGCGGTCCAGATCTAGATCTCGATACGTCGGAAGAAGAACGTCTGCCAATAGACACGGAAGACCTCGTGGGTTTTTTGGAGTTTCCTCTCGAGGCGCGCAGAATCGCCAGGGAATCGGATGATGATCCGGCGCTGCAAACAATTTGTCTCTTTGCCAGAGAGGGATGGTAGCCACGACTACTTAGGAGCAACGCGAAATTGTATAGTAAGAGAGATAGACTTAGGTGCAATGCGGGAGTGTTGTTGGTGTGAGGATGAGAGTTTACCACAGTAGTGATACCTAGAAGTTTAAGAAGTGTCGTGTTCAAACTTTTGCACGAGGGACATTGTGGGAGAGTTACGACAAAACAACTAGCACGCCGTTGTTGTTTCTGGGAAGGCACGAGCAATGATATTGCGAGAATGCTTGGAAGGAGCGCCGCGAGCCAAATAAATCAGAATTGCCAAATATATGCAATTAAAAAAGGAAAATATGTGAAATGTGTAATGTAATGTGTAAGTGTAAAAATAAATAAAACGATTAATGTGGAAAATATGCATACAGCAAAAAAGATACAGAAGTCATATAAGTTGTAACAATCGACCAACATTAAGTCAAGGGTTTTGTAGACACATGGGCGGCCAAATTAGGCGCCACGGGACGAGCACATTCAGTTTCGCTACTCTTTGAAGGTATTTAAGAAGTAAAGAGTATACATTTCAAAGTTCCCGCGTTCGAGGTAAGTTTTAATTTTAGCAAAAAAACAACAACAACCTCTCTCTCTCAAAACACAAAAAAAACATTTTTATTTTACGTTCTTTTCAATGGCCTTAAAGTGACCAGTAGTCCACACAGCCCGCCAGCAACGAAGTTAGCATATTATATATTTTCTCGAAAAACCAATATTTTCCCGAGATAGAATTCGTAAAGAGAAAGTTTATTGTCGTCCAAAGGTAACTATGAGAATCTCTTCATTACTTACTGATTTATACGCCAAAGGTTAATCTTGTCAAATATGTGTCGTCTTTTCAGAACCTTCTTGCCTGACGAGAACACAGAAAGGCGATGCACAGAATTGGTCGTCGCAGTTTCTGCTAATGCTCTCCCAATTATCTAAGCAAAATTTGGAGCCTCATCAGGCTTAATTTTCAAGAACACTGATTTCTTAGGAAAACAATGGGAGATAGAGTTAATAAACATTAAAAAATAAAAATATAGGCATTGCAAAAATATGACTCTCTGAATTCACGACAAATGCACGGGCCTAACTCTCAACACCACTCCACGTTTGCACCGTGTGTGGGCACGCATAGGCGCTGGCGGATGCACATTTCATTTCGATTGATACTGCCGATGACGAGTTTAAGGTCGCTGGTAAGCCATGGCCCGTACGCGAGCCGACGCACCAAGTACAAACAAACAAGAATATTTGAGTACTGGAATTGAAAAACTGGACACCATTATATGTTTTGGCCTCCGTACTGCCTTGTCGTCACTTGTCTATTCTTCTTTTCCTTCTGTTTCTGCATGTCCTTCCTATTCTCCTCCTCCATCTTCAGCCTCTTCTGTTGCTTAGTCTCCTCCTCTTGTTTCAGCTCCTCCTTCATACGTAGTTTCTGCTTCACCTTTTCTATGGGCTTACTTGTTAATTAAGTTATTATCTTAATGTTAAATTCTTTGCAGCTATTCTTAAACGCGTTGGGTGTCTCAGTTTTTTATTCTTTAAATAGCATTCAAAGAATTTCTTGTAAAAGCGTTACAATAATTGTAATAATAACAATAATAGTTATATACTCTTATTATTACATGAAAAAACTCATTTAATAAAAATAATGCTACAAGATAAATGATTAGTATAACTCATTTTATATTACGAGCCAAAACGTGGAGAAGATACCCATCAATGGTGAGTGAAGTGCCCAGGCGAGTAAGGTTCCCAAACGCCGAATCGGAGTAACTTAGCGGAGCTGAGCAGCGGCAGAGGGGGGAGGGGGAGGG